GAAGAATCGGTCAGGTGATTTACAGCGTCCAAGTGGGATCATTGATATGGAAACGACATGTCAATCAATTACGGCCGATTCAGTGCCAGATCCCAAAGGCGGAAGAACAGTTACTAGACCACAACCTACTGCTTGAAACCTTTGATCTCCCAAGACCAGCACCTACAGCCACTGCTACGCATGTACCGCTCAAGACAGATCCATTGCTGCAACCAAGACGCCGTACCGGTCGCACCAGAAAAAGGGTGGAACCTTTACAACTTGATCCGCGTCGAAAATCTTATGTTGAACGTTCAGAAGGGGGAGGTATCAGGAAGGTCAGCTTCCTGAAAGCAATCATTGAATGCCCGGAATCTACGGAGACTCGGCTCCGCTGGGTGTTGACCAGACAGAAAGCGCCCCCTCAATATGCAGCGCGTCACAGCCTTGCATCAAACCCAGACAGCGCGAGTCAGCGTTGATAAAGGACAGACAACGCCTCCGCAATATGCAGCACGTCGCTGCCTAGTACTAAAGCCAGACCGCGTGCGTCAGCATTGGACCAGTTCAGACAGTGGTCCTTCCAATAAAAAGCTTGAAGCCGTTGTACTTTTCGCACTCGCACGCACTCGCGCTCTCGCAACCACTTTTTTAAAATATAGCTATTGTGTTCCCTTCCGTGAGCCTTGTTCTCTCCGACACTAGGCACTGGAGCGGGTCAGCAGCAGATACCACAGGCCGGTGAATCAGCAGATATAACAGAGGCAGAGGCTGGTTCCTTAATTTATCACCCACTACATTATTGATGCTCATGATAACGTCATTCGACGTCTGCAACTCCATAAATTCAACGTCGACTCCCAGCCAATGTCAGGAAGAATGAAATCCAAACACACACTACTAACATCAAAAAATCTGTCCAGCCTAGCAGCGCCTAATATCCGTAGTCTTATTCCGGAAAACCGACAGAACTGCTTTGCTCTCACGCTTTCCTCGTAATTGTGCCTGTGAGAGATATGCAAGACCATACCATGGCAAAGCATATGAACAAGGTTCGGGGCAACTCACTTTACTCACAATTTAGTCCCTAGATTTAGGATGGACCTCAATAAACTGCAACGGTAAGAGTGCGAAAGACGCGTGACAAACCAAGTGGTTAGAGCGCGAACTTACTGACCGGAAGGTTCGTGGTTCGAATCCGACCTCTGCCACTCGACTTCCCCTGTCTAGGCTTGGACAACCTGGCAGTATCCTAGCCCTCGTGCTTTCTTCGGGTGGCATGGCAGTTAGGCACCGGAAGGGTGCTACAGCTGAACGCTTTCTTTTCTTCTTCTTTTCTTTCTCGAGGTCCCCATTCAGGAAGACGGCAGTGACCAGCGCAGCTGAGTTTGCTGGTAATGGCTTTCATACTTCGCTGCCAAGTCATTGTTTGACCGCCTCTGGCTCTCTTCCACCCTTCACGTGGTTGTGCGAAAAGAGCCCTTTGTTGGTTTAGGAAGATGGAGTAGATAGTTGTGCGTTATATAATTGATGTGTGAATACAAGGTTGCAAGCGGATTTTTCATTGGTAGGAGGGCTATACATTGAAGGCAATAGCTTGGATTCACGAGCACCACAGCACAACCGACCAGCGCAGCTGAGTTTGCTGGTAATGGCTTTCATACTTCGCTGCCAAGTCATTGTTTGACCGCCTCTGGCTCTCTTCCACCCTTCACGTGGTTGTGCGAAAAGAGCCCTTTGTTGGTTTAGGAAGATGGAGTAGATAGTTGTGCGTTATATAATTGATGTGTGAATACAAGGTTGCAAGCGGATTTTTCATTGGTAGGAGGGCTATACAT